TTACATGTTAAACATTTCAAACATTCTGCACATCTGAACCCTCCTCTATCTCTGGTGTCTTCATCATCTAGAGCATTCCTCAGTCTTGCAATGGGTATCCTTGCTTTGAATACTCCATTTCCACTTTCTTCCGTTCCATGCCTCCTATCCAAGGCTATGATAGAATTACGAGTTGGAGAGTTACACTCCTCCGCAAATCCCTGGATTATTACCTTGATCCTCATTTTGGGCTGTGTTGGTATCACAGGTTGAAGAACTACACTCCTCTGCAACTCCATCCACACTCCCTTGATCCGCAGGGATTGCAATATGATTGATCCTTCCATGATCCGTTATATGATGTAGAAATGCACTCACTTGGCTGGTTCTGTTGTGCAGCTGGCAGAAATTCCCTCAATACTCTAAGATGGATGTTAACTTTTCATGATCATCCAAGGATTCTTCAAAATCTTCTTCGGTCTCACCATTGCAATCTTCAATATCTTCTCTTTTTATAGGATAAGGATTCACAGTTAAACCTAGTTTCTCATTTGTTCTGATGGAGTAGCATCGCTCTTCCCATTCCATCTCCAGTTCTTCCATTATTCTCTCTCTTATTAAAAATACAGCATTGGACATTTAAGTATTTTTTCCATTTTTCTCTCTTGTGAGGGATTTATGAGGGCCTGCAAAAATCAATCTTGAACCGTAGACATACTTAAACGGGCTTAGATATACTGCTATACCTGAGGGTAAAACTTTGATCAGTTCAGGATCCAGATTTATATTCTTGATCCCCAACAATAGATGTACCTTAGACCCACCTACTTTCATCGGGAGAACTTGATCCTCTTCTTCTCCAGTGGCTTGATCCTTGAATTCTTGACATATCTCGGATAGATAACAAGTAACAAATCCTTCTGTAACATTATCCATACCTACACAGACAACCTCATGATACTCTCCCTTATCTCCAGGTCCTAGGTTAAATCTGAATGTACCATGGTTTGATCTCACCTTGCTTCCTCCCACTACTGCCAAGTTGGTAGGGATACTTGAAACCTTCTGTAAACCTTCTCTCTCTCTGCTAAAGCACCGTCAATGATGTGGATATTTGCCCTGCGATCGAAAAAGATCAGAGCTTCAGAATTTTCCATCTTGATTGTCTGCATCAAATAACACGAATTTTCGGAAACTTCCTGTATGATCTGTTCTTCTGATCCCAACCCACTACATTGTCTTCAGGTTCCATTGAAAACACCTGATACATGTAGTTTGCTGCAAACCTCACTGACGAGTCTACAACCATTGTACCTAGTTTTCCTATATACTGCTCCAGGTCCACTGCTCCAGGTCCTTCTTCATCTCGGGAAAGGGTGATCTCAACTCAGCATGCTCCTTTCTTCTGCAGAATAGTACGGACAGTGGAGCTAGATTCTAAGACTGAGCCTATGAAGCACACCCTTGACATTTCAAAGACTCAGGAACTTTAGCCTCAAAACTACATCTTCTATTGATACAAACATCTTTGGGAGCTAGGCAGGCATAACATATTTTGCTTGTTCTCCATCTTGTTCCATCTATCTCCAGGACTCAATGAGAAGAACTCTGCACACTTGCTCACCTCATGCTGATGGTTTGATAAAGGACAGGGGAATTTAAAAGGCCAAGCCCGGTACCACTTAGGATTGTTGAATTTGGCAGCAAAGGCAGTGCTGTGTGATTCTTCCTTTCCATTATCATCCTTGGATTTTTTATCGGACTTGGATTCTGTAACTTTATGAGCAGATTTAATCTTGTTCCTAGGGGATCTTGGGGATTTTGGGTGATTTAGGCCTATTAGGATGCTCAGGTTCTCTTGATTCTTCACTCTTGTTTCTTTCTATGATGCAAAGGTTCTTAAAAACTTTGTAAGCATTCTCTCCCACTGGATTCTTGTAATCTAAGCTGGCTTTGGTCATCTCTGTAATCCAATCTGCATGAGTATCATGAGGTACAACCAATGATAAACCACTCAGCGTTGCCAAAGAATATACACAATTTTCTAGCTCTAGCTTATCAATCCCTCCTACCTTGGATAACCTCTCCATTCTCTGCAATGCTCTAGAGATGAACGCATAGAACACAAACTTTTGAGTACTGCTACTTGAAGTTGGTTTCGTCTTCTTGTTAAGATCATTCAGTATATCACTAATAATTCTGGAAACACCTCCATAGATAGAAATCAACCAGCTCTTAATCTCCAGGTAGGAATCCTACATATTTATAAGCTTATTTTTAATTTCTTTGGATAGATGTCTGTTGTATAATGTGTTAGCCTTCTACTTGGAGTTACCCCATCCCAGATACACTATTTCTGCAGCTTCCAGGAATTCATAAATTGTTACCTTGGCATTGTCTGAGAATATTCCAACATCTGCTGAATCTCCCTTTGATGTATTAATACTATGGACCTCAGCTTTGTTGTACATCTCTTCAACCTTCAAACACCAGTTCTCTGCACAATCCAGGAATTCATTAATCTCCAGGGAACGTTACATACTTTTGTAAAGATTTCTGGATATTTCCTACTGTAGAATGTACAGCAGGTACATCAACGGTTTATACTTCTTTATCAGCGAAATTTCCAGAGTTTCTATCATCATCTCCACTGATACCATTTGCTCCAGCTGTTTCTTGACACATTTTATACTCTTCCTTACCACATCCTTCTTTCTTGAATAGGATTCATTCTCAGTTATTGTAGGCTCTAACACCACGGAGTTCATGGTACTATTCATCACTTGCTCCGATAGGTCCACCACCAAACTTCTTAAACTTTCTGCTACGTGTTGATTAGAATTCATAGAATCTCTCATCTCCTCTAATTCAGCTCTCATCCTGTTCACAGCTAAACCAGGAGAACTATCGGTAATTACCTATCTGATGGAATTGACAACTTCTACGGGAACATCCGGCATTGCCCATGTAGACATGTCCACAAACATTCTTGTATCATCTCTACTTTATCATCTATGTTCTTATCTAAACGATTTACACTGGATTCAAGTTTGGAGAATCTTTGCTCGTCCATCTTTAATCTCTCCCAAACTTCGGAAGTATTGGATTTCAACACATTTACATTCTCCCTCAGATCCTGAAACATCACCTCAACTCTGTGAAGTGCAGTGGAGAATATATCAATGAGTTTTAACTCCCCTCAACTGTCAAACTTCATGTAAGACAACATTTAATACAGTTGGATGTAATTTTTTTCCAAAAATGAGCGTTTTGATAAGGTTCGTCGTTTTGTTAATGATCGTTAACAAAAACCCTTCATTAACGATTGTTAACATAATTGTCAATAGTTTTTTTTTCAAAAACGATCGTTTTTTTAAAAACAATCATATAAAAAACGGTCTTAAATCGTTTTAATAAAAACTATTGTTTTCAAAAACAATCCCTATTCGTTTTCTAAAAGTTAAAAACTAGTGGGTCGTTTTAAAAAACGATAGTTTTTTTCCGGAAACGAAACGATTGTTTTTGAAAACGAAACAAAAACGATCGTTTAACGTTTTAAAAATGGAGTAAACAGTTTCCCCCCACTTAAGTATCTCAGTTTTAAGATGGGAAAAATCCTCTCTCAGTTTTACATCCATAGAATTAGTAACACCCCTCGATCTAGTACAGACTCTGGGTTCCAAACAAGTTCCTGTACTGCTCTCATAATTATCATCAATGAACCCAGTTGTATTAACTTGAGGAGTGGATGCATAGAAATTGAATCGATCAAATCGTATGGCTTCAGGCAAATTTAAGGTGCTACTCAATCTTTCTCCCTCCCCTTCAGACGTAGACCTTCTTTTGGCTGCCCCCCACATGGTTCAAGAACTCTGAATACTAAGAATGTTATTACTTCCCATAAATTTCCCTATAGGGCATTAAGAGAAGATTAGGAAAAAATTTGAAACTCCACCCAATAATTAAAGATGCCATGTTGTAACATTCCAGCATGGATTGGGTAAGAACAAAGTATTGGATAGTATTACATGAACTAATTCTCAGGATAAATTGTCTCAATGATTAGGCGCCCTGTGTAATCATATCGGATACAGACCCGTAGATTGCAAGGGATTGGAAGATTTAAGTGTACTATCCTAATCAAACTGAATATGGATTCGGGGATTCAAAGGGATCACATGATTCAAATAATCTCTTATAATAGAAGATTCATTCCACACAATTCTTTCGTGTATTTTTCCAAGATTGGCAAACACTACAGAAAATGAGAAATGTCTCAATATAAAACTTAAAAGGCGACCCGGTAGCAATCTAGCCTAATATAGATCTGATAGATTCCACAGGTTAATTCTTGGCTTAAACTTTCTCAATTAAAGATATCAATCCTTTTTAGGGGTTTAAAGTTGGTACCCTAAAGTGATTGTGACTGAATGTTTCACAACTGGCGTTGCCCTAGTTTATACAAAGTTTCATCAGAAAGAAAATTAAGAAAATAGGAACTAATTGATTCAGTAGGATTAGATATTGCTCAAAGATATTTTGCTGAATTATTAAGATAGATTAAAAGGAGTGTTTGCGAAAAATAATCGCTTTTGATCGCTACTAATCTTACTGTTGCGTCTATAAGGTAAAAATTGTTAAAAGCAACTTATAATGAAAAGCGTAGCAAACACTCCCTTTAACAGGCAAAGGACTTAAATGCAAAGAGAGGTAGATGAGCTGAAAGCACAGCATTATAGAATAATATATTAGGATTCAGATGAAAGCAAAAATATTTATTTTAAAAAATATTATTATTTATAAAAATACAATTTGCTTTCTTTTATTACCAAGTGCTTTTTTACTAGAAATATCTGAAATGTTTTCTTAACAGAAACCATTTAAAAGGAAAATGTAAAATTTAATGGATTGTTCTATTCTACTTCTAAATAGTTGATATCCAAGATTTATAAAAATATAAGTTTTGTTAAAACAACATTTCAATTTTACTGGTCATAAACCTTCCCTAGAATTATGTAATTTTTTTCATTTATTGGAAAAGTCAAAATGCATATATAAAGATCCGAAACGTTGTCAATGGTTACTTTGTATATTCTTACACAAAAAGGAACAAAAAAATGTGATTCTTGAAGATTCATAATTTTTCTTAAAAACAAAGGTAAGCCTTAAAAAGTCAACAACAAAAATACAAGAGAAAATTTTTTTCAGTGTAACAGTGTAACAGTGTAAACTGCTACCTAGTTAATTTTAAAGCTTTTATGCCTAAAGCATCAGATTTTTCAAAATTACAAGTAAAGAAATTAAAAATAAAATATTAAAACATAATTTGTTTTCTTACTCACGAACAACATAGCGCCCTTGTTTCCTGAAAAAAACATTTTGTTAATTTTAAGCTATAAGTTAAAATTTTCTTTTAACTGTTTCGCAACTGGTGTTGCCCTAGGTTATACAAAGTTAATACTGTGCTGAACTTCTTTGAATCGAACTATAAGCACCCCGACTCTCGCTCTTCCTCATGATGAATAAAACACAGGGAAAGAGCTTCGAACTTTATTCAGGTTTAGCAGCTTCAGTCTGGTAAAATGAAATTCATTTATTTCACAGAAAAAGCTTTTGATGGGCATATTAAAAATTAGTTTACAGGGAATTAAAAGATGTTATACCCATTAGGCATTAAAAAAAATAACCAATATTTATCATACATTTATCCAATACAAAGAACAACAAATTATTTTAATATTTACAAAGACATTTTCTTACATATACATCCAATACAAGAAAAAAAGCTATCTTAACATTTAAAAGCATATTTACCACAGTTATAGGCAGTTTTCAGCACAAATAACCACTAGAAACATTCTAAAAAACTAAATCCAAGTCCGATAAATATACTGTAAAAACTTTTAAACAAAGAACACATGTGTAATCTGCTTCTGCGCAGTAAAGAAAAATAAACGGTAGAACAGGTTTTTCTTCATCTTCAACTCTCCCTGGAAAACACTTGTACAGAACATCCATCCGTTGCTGGGGTAAATAGGAATTTCCCACAGAACAGGGGCATTTCACAGACTCTACATATGCTGTGTGTGCAAGCGTAACACAGACTGAGTCAAAAATAACTGAATTAAATGATGTCTGTAGGTAAAAAAATATTAAAATTTAATTCAAGATAACAATATTTTGAAAGGAAAGTGTTTTAAAAAGTTATTGTTGGTATTTTTACTTTAGTCCATTGAAAACATCTAGTTTATATGTTTCTCCTTGCTTATAATGGTAGGAAATGTGTATCTAAAATAGAAATTTGTCATGAAATTAGAAAAGAATTATCAAGTTTATTTTAATTTTAAAATTAAGGAGTTTTAGATTAGAGAATATTTTTTTGGCTAATTACAAGCTAGTTTTTGTTAAATCTCTTTCGCAAAATTTTTGCTCAGCAATCGAAAAAGAAAATTTAATTTAATTTCAGAAAGTTGTTTGAAATTTTTTTACAGACCTTTACATACATTTGTCAAAAATCCAAATTTTTAGTAGTAATTTAGGATAAAACCATATTTGCAAAATTATTCGATAGATCATTTTCGTGAAAAAACTACTTAATTGTAGAGTTTTATTTTAGATTTATTTATGATTTTTTCAATTATTTATTTCTATTTTTCATATTAACCTTTCGTTTTGATTGTGTTAGAAACTGCTCCATTGATCTTATTTCTGGTTCATAATCTATAGCCATTAAGTTTGCTCTATATAAATAACAGAAAAAATGAGGCGGTGGAAACCATTTATATAGGGTAAACCAACTAGATTGTAAAAGAAGCTAAAGGTGTAATAAATATCAGGTTATACGATATTCCATACAATTTGCCGTACGTTGTAGATTATTAAATAATTATTACATTATTATTATTAATCAATTTTTGTACATAAAAAACCATTTATTCATTTGAACTACCTTCTAAATGAATACGTAGCATGTTTGGCTTAATCATGTGATATATATGTTGTATATCCTCAATTGAGACTATTTCTTATTGTGCTGTAATAAGTAACATAATTTGCCTTAAGTCATGTGAAAAAACGAAGAAAAAAAAAACAATATGTTCGTTTATTGTTGAAGAAACGATTGTTTATAAAAAATATCCCAACTAAAGTTGAGTTTTTAACATTTAAAATGTAAGTTCTGATTCCTTTTGGGCTGGTTTCCTCTCCTAGATAGTATTTATTCTATTTAAAGATGCCTAGGACATATTTATCAAATCTGCTGTTAATGGTTGTTAATGATCATAAATAATTGTTCGTTTTTTGAAAAGTGAAAACGATCCATTCTAACTCCCTTCCCCTAAAATCAGTAGGACACACCCAAATGGACCCCTTTGTTTTATATTCAAATTTCAATAACCAACCTTAAGTCACATTGCCATGAGGCCATTATGAAAAATGTCCATAGCAACCAAAAAAACTGATAGCACTGAATGAAACGCTTCCCTAGGAAATAATATTATCAATGGAAAATTCAGATTACCTAGAAATAATCTCACCTTCTCTTATCTTTTTCTGAAATGGTTCTTGAAAATATGCACCAAAAGAAAAAAGTCCAATTTCAGCTAATGTGATGTTGGTTTCTACACAAATTAGTTGCTAGTGGGGTATGATAATCCGAGTACTCTAAAAAAGTCTTACAGCGCCATCTAAGTTAAAACAGAGCCAGCATAGGATAGGGTCAACCGGACTTGCCAGATGTCTCTAAGGCCAGTACAAGAGGGTGGTCCTTTTCATATTCAAATTGACCCTAGTCCATGTTAAGGTTTTCACTGCATTTAATTATGGTGTATTGACAAATTATACTGTAATCAAACTTCTTATGTCTTATTAATGTCAAATTTAACAACTTTTAAGCATATTAAGTATATCTCCTATTTTTGGTATGACCATTGACCAACAAGGTTATAGTGTATAGAGTGATGATGTACACTGATCCATTACTAATTGTATAGGCCAAGAACTATACCAAGAGTGTACTGAATATTTGATTATTTAATAGATTCTAGCTAACCTATAGTATATATCATTATTAGTAAACAGTTGTGTACAGTACAGCTAACTGAGCACTATCATCCCCCCTGGGTATGAATGACGCATGAATGCATGAATTAACTATTATTAAGAACGGAAAAAATGGAATCATTTCTAAGAATAATGTATAGCTATTGACCATGACCAATTATTGTCATCATAATCTTACTGTAAGATAGAAGGTATGCATTTAGAAGCACCAATAAGTAAAAAGAAAGAATAGAAAATCCAGTTACTGCTGTGACCATTATCCAAACCTAATATTAATATAATTTAAGATGTTTATGACTTTATTTACTGGCAAGGTTTTTTTTTAATTTCTGATTCAATACTTATTTATATATAAAAATAAGATAAAAAATGAAAAAAATACTTTCCAAATTACAATGTAACTTTTTTACTCTGAAGAAAGCAAAATTTATAAAATTCTTTAACTTTACCTCATAACTAAATGGTTGAATGATTTGAAGGAAGTTAGTTTTTTTAACAGGCAAGGGACAAACTTTAAAAAATCATCATTAAATATCAACATTAACAAGACAGAAGCTGATAAACTTACCTACTGTTGATCCAGCATAAGAAACAGGAATAAAGCTAACTTTGTCAAAAAATTTTGTATTATTGGGGCCATAGAATAATCTTACTTCCTGAAATTGAATGTAAGCAAATATTTCGCCATCTGAAAATTAAAAATATCATTAACCTCTTTTAAAAAAAATATAATTCTTTATTATTCTTTTTATTACTTAATTTTTTTATGAACACAATTACATGAAGCAAAAAAAACTTAAACGGTAAACCATTCTAAAAAATAAAGTTATTCTCTTTATCAGTTTTGCATCATCAATCTATTGTGTTTGATGTATATAGATTTAAAACATATGACAGTTATTTTAATAATAATTAAAACTAATTCCCAACAGTTAATGATGTCTTGTCTTCCATTTACACAATTCAAAATTTCTTATTTTATTTTACAAGAAGGTTGAGGGGAATATATTCTGGCCGGAGGGTTGGGCACTGATGAACATGACATTTGCACAGGCTGATCCAATTAAAGTGCAGAAAGGATAGCACTAGTAAGCAAGGAAAAGTTAAGTAGGAAAATTTGAGAGAAAATTTTTTATGGAGCCAATGAACACAGAGAACAAAAAAGAAAGGAAAGGATAGATGGAAGAGAAAAGACAAAGGAAACAAAATCAATTCTTAAAAGGAAAAAAATTCCTTATTTCTTTCTTTTTACTTTTTATAACTGTCTGAGAAAAGTACAAAAGAACATATTATGTTTGAAAATCCAGCTTTCTACAAGTTGTTGGCAAATCAACGCTACATGTGATTAACAAAAATCATATCATTAACCAAACCAAATAGTTAAGCCTAAAGAAAAATAGGAAGCAAATAAGTGTTCACTATGGTTTATAGGGTTACCCATAGTCAAGTTTTTAAGACAATGGCGCAACACAAAACGTTGGGGTGTATGACTTTTAACTAATCTTGAGGAGAAAAAATTAATAGAAAGACTTTGATAACAAACTGGAAATAGATTTTTTGATATTTTGTTTTTATTTGTATGTGTGAGCTTGTGCCCACAACCCTTATCCAAAAATAAATTATTAAAGTTAAACAACAAGCCTGGCTAGCTGTTATTAAGTATCCAAACCTGTCTGAAAAACGTAAATTCTTTCGATTAATCTGGTTCCATATGTAAGCATAAAGATGTTATTTCCATGTACAAGTACCTGTCTGAGATGAATCTTACAAGAATCAAGAATTTTCTTGTCAAAAATATCCACTCATTGCCTAACCTTTCTTATCTCATTTATTACTAGCTTGGGAATCCAGCATTGCACAGGGTACTCATAGGTACTCCCGCCGTTTAGCTGCACTTAAATGATTTTACTCAGAATCTTATAACTAAGCAAAGAACATTCCCATGGTCCTCCCAAGTTTCCCAATCAAAACTTAGGCAAATCAGTCCAAGGGTTTCCAAGTTATAATCGGACAAACAAACAGACAAACAGAGATTACAACTTTATATATAAAGATAATAATGAAATTCTAACAATGGATCCTAAGAATTTCCAAACCCCACTCATCAGTGATCTAATTTTTGTTCAACCTTTAAGAATAAATATGATAAATATGAATAATCTAGAGCAAATAGCTGCATCAGCAATCAGCAAGAATTCCACAATTTACTTCATGGGACTAAAATTCTTTTTTTTTACCGTACAAAAATTAAAAGAAAATTTTGCAAAAAATGAACAAGATGTTTGCAAAAGAAGTAGAAAATTTCGACAGAAAATACATCAAAATTTGCAAACATTTAGGACGAATTTTATCATTTATGTAATTAATTGTTACAGGACAAAAGAGGCAGTATTGTTTTACATCTCTTAGCAATTTAAATATTTTACTCTTATAAACTGTTATTTTAAAAGTAACTTAGACGCATAAAATATGATGATAGGTTGTAGGTTTGTATGTATATAGTATTCTAATCTGATTTTCCTTTTAAGATACATTTAGAAACCCCCTTCTGCTGCATGGACGAACTTACTAACACTTTCTCTTGAATGGCCACAATTATTTAAAATCAGTATTACCTAAGACATGTTTACAACCACCAGTAAAAAATGTTTCGTTGGTTATGCTGCAACGGTTTTCCTCATTCATGGTAAAGGTCAGACCAAAGTTTTCAGCAAACAGATAGAATGTGGAGTAAGTCATACCAGAGGGAATCATTGTCTCCCCAGCCTTATTTGTTCCATTGTAGGATCCCCTAAAAATTTTTCATCTAATTTGATTAAAAGACTCAAAAGTCTGTATAATTTCTATGATTCATCTAAATAATGTGAAAATTTTGAAAATACATTATGTCCTATAAAAAATTGACCAATTTTACATAATTTTCAAATTTTTATTTCTCCAAAATGAAAATAGTATAAAATGCAGGACTTTCACCATTTTTCAATGTTTTTAGTGTCTGATGAAGTGACTGGTCAAATAGGTGATTTTAATCACTTGCTTTAGTGAGGTAATTTGTGTTTTGCTACTGGATCTGTGAATCTGTGAAAAAATTGCTGATTTTTGTTGTTTTCACTAACGCTCAAGAAACCCAGGTGGTTACCAAGGTAAAAAAGGACTTTTACAGGGAAATTCTATGAAGGATATACCTGAAATACCATATCATTGAAAAGCGCTCAACAAGTACTTTTATTCCTTCAAGATCATTTGCCTAAAAAATGTAAAAAATGAACAATAACTAATCCTAAAAATGCTGGAGATTCTCTATCTATGTATACACCTATGCGGAGAGGAAGGAAAAGCCCTTTAAGACCTTAGAGAAGGTAAAATGAATGGATGGAATTATCAAGAGCGATGCCATCATTCCAAAAAAATAGAACTAACATGTAACACATGTTCTGAAAAATGTTGAAAATAACTGTCATGTAATTGTTAATGTTACTACACGTTCTACACCCAGCCCCTTCCCTCTCAACTCATCCCATCCTTCACCCCCTTTTTAGCAAGTCCAGCTATCAACTAATTAAATACCATTAATTTTTAAAGTTCTTTATCGTTAATGATTATCCACCGTTAATCAAGGCTTGAGATTGATCAAGAGCACAAAGAATGGAACGAAACTGGGATGGAACGATTGGAAAAAGAACTAACAAGAAACGAATGATCTAGCTGAAGGCCCTCGTTCAAGAATGAGGAATGAAAGATTTCAAAATATTAGGAACATGCCCAGCCCTACATATAAGCAAAGGTTCTATATCAATGTTTGACACAGAGTTTAATATCATATAAGATCTCCATTGGATAAATTTGTTTAAAAGCCTCTGACCAGGGGATAACACTCTTTATGAATTTCAAATGTAGATCAAACCAATAAACCTCACTTTCATTCAATACTGAACCTCATTTTACTTTTGATTGTTCCCTAATAGTCTAAACCACACTCTCATGGATAATTTTGAGACCATTTAGAGGAGTCTTATGCCGGGACAACAATACTGAATAACTTTTAGGAAAATGCTCCCTACAATTTACATAACAACAAAAATATCTCTGAAAAAATTTGTAAAAGTTATTGATCACACCTCGTACCTTCAATGATTGTGATCTGTCCCTAGGAACACCTTTTAATGTACATAAATGCTTTATCCTGACTCTATCATTTCTGAACACATTGTAAAAAATAAGATATCATGTTATTTTTTGTTTGCTATTTTTTTATTTTTTTAAGTCATAGTATTAGTTTTCATGTCTCATGATTGTTTTTGAAAATTTCCTATGATTAGAAGCCTAAGTTACCTTGTAGTTCTATTGTATTTATGATTATGTATACTAACACTTCTGAAATAAATCTTTACTCAGATTTTTTATATTAGAGATTGACATCAATTAAGATTATAAAAAATAATTAAAAAGGTACATTTTATGGCTGTTTTTACAATTTTTTTTCTACTTTGAGTTTTTTAGTTGGAGAGTTTAGTTAAGGTAAAATAAAAGGGTGTATAGGGTAGGAATTTTTTAGTTGATCGCAACTAATATTAGAAATTTTTAGAGAGGTTCCTGTTATAATTTTAATGTTATTATTCTTCATTTTTTGGTTTGCTTTAAATCACACAAACACAACCAATATTTTTGGCAGCTTGGTGTCTCTGCCAACTTTGCCAACTAAAAATATTGTAGCCAGAAGTACATCCGCATAATTTAAAGAAAACCTATAATGTAAAGGGACATCAGATATAACTAATAGTAATATTGGTTGTGATTTCTAGGCTTTATCCCTTTCATTTTACCTGATCAGTCTATTTAAAAATTATTTTCTACTTTTATTTTTATTTAATTTCATTGTCCTAACCTGTATATCTGTTTACAGGCTGAGAAATGAAGGTTCAAGATACTTAAATCATTCTTCATAACAATCTCCAGACTTGACTTACCTAAGTCTTTAAGGAAATTTGCAAAAATAGAAAAAACATTTTCTTCTATATAATGAATTCTATAAAGTTGGCAAATGAAAATTTAAAATACAAACACATTTTTATAGATGAATAATATGATACTTTAACATACAAGTACATTGTCTTTAAATACGAAATACGCAATACAGAATAAAAAGACAGAAACAAATGTTACAAACCTTTTTCATTTTCATCATCAGTTATTTTGATAAAAATACAATCTGTTTTCCTATGATTTAAATAGTCAATATTTTTTTAATATTTGGATAAAATAGTTTCAAATAATACCTTTTTGACAAACAAAATTTTTTTTCTAAATCCTCCTACAACAATCAACAGATTTTGAATTAAAAAGTCTTAATAATTCTTTTAAAAAATTAGTTATGATGAAAAATGTTTTTTAAAATCTGTTTAGCTTCCTGTGAAGAATTAATGTTAGTTATCATAAGATGGCAGTGTTCCAAACCAGCTCCAGCTTTCATACCAATAGTATCTACCTCATTCAGTAACATCTGGACAAATTTGGACTGAAAAACAGCTGGGAACTTTTGTATTGGATACCCATAATCATGCATGCTTGATCTTGATATCCACTTTGGGCACTTTTGAATTCTCTGAATTTTGGAAAACCACAATTTCTCTGTTTCCCATTGGTTGACCGCAAAAATTTCTAATTGGCTGTTTGTTTTCTGCACTTCCAGAGATATCAAATAAGGATTAAAATAATCTGTAGATTAACAAAAGCATTAATCTCCCTATCCACAATAAACAAGTTCCAAGTTCTACTCAGTTTGTGCACCAGTGCTCATTCAAAACAACGTGTTTTTATTCTGTTGAATGTTTAAACATTTGTAACATTTTTTAACAAATATGAAGGAATTTTTAAAATTCCTCAATACCCAGTAAAACCAGTTTATGTTTCATATGGTAAAAAAAAACTTAAAAGGTTTAATAAGAATTATTAGATTTCACAGATAGTTTTAAAATTTATCATCATGGATTTTACACAGCAGATTAGTGCAAATTAACAAAATTGTCAAAAACCTTGGGCGCGTGGACAAAGCAAGAGTGAAGAAAAATATATCTACATTTAAAGTAGTAGTAATTACATGATTTTAATTTCTATTTAAAATACCTTTGTTTTTATCATTTTCTTCACTGTACTTGTCTCCTGTAAAAAAACGCATAACTTAAAAACTCTGTAAACTGAAAATTTTAAAATCAAAAACTGAAAATTATAAAATTATAGACTAAAAATTCTGGTAAGCTGAAAATTGTAAAATTATATACTAAAATTCTGGTAAACTGAAAATTGTAAAAACTATAAACTAAATATTCTGATAAACTAAATATTATAAAATTATAAACTAAAAATTTTGATAAACTAAAAATTATAAAATTAAATAATTAAAATTCTGGTAAACGGAAAATTATAAAATTATAAGCTAAAAATTCTGGTAAACTGAAATTATCAAAATATAAATCAAAAATTATGGTAAACTGAAGATTATAAAATTTTAAACTAAAAATTCTGTTAAACGGAAAATTATAAAATATAAACTAAAAACTTGGGTAAACTGAAAATTATAAAATAATAAACTAAAAATTCTGATAAACTGAAAATTATAAAATTTTAAACTGAAAATTATAAAGTTATAAACTAAAAATTCTGGTAAACTGAAAATTGTAAATTATAAACTAAAATTTTGTTAAACTGAAAATTATAAAATTATAAATATTCCTGATGAGTCCAGTCTCCAAGGAGGGATGCAACACATGGATGAGAAGGATCAATAAAGTTTTCAAGGTAAGGCTGAATCAAATTCAATTGTTCTCTGAATTTTCAAGATTATCAAATTATTGATTAATTAATCATTTATTATTAATGTTGTCATCAGGGAAAATTTACCAATTTAATATAACAATTTTTTAAAAGCTGTTAGAATAAATGAGAGCCACATTTTTCAGAACTTGTGTATATAAGCATTTAAACATTTACCTAAACTTTCCAAGAGTAGGGTTTATGAACAGCAGTAAAGTTAGGAGCACTAGAGAACTCATTTTTGATTCTATTTTTCTATTAAATAGATTCAATCAATCTTTAATTTTATCTGTTTTAATTTTGTTAAATTCTTAGGTTTTAACTGTTTAACTCAGTTTAGTGTTGATTTTCAAGCCACCATTATATTATAGATACATATAGATATAATTATATATGTCTGTAACATAAAATTTTTGCAGATTTTTCTGTTTAAATTGGTTAAATTTAAAAATTGTAACAGTCAACATTTTTTTTCCAAGCAAAATTTCTTAATTTTTACCTCCACAAATCTTTCTTAAGGTTGTTTGAGTTGCAAAAAAAATAAAACGGATTGTTTTGGCCGTGTTGACGTTTATTGGATACAAAAAATTTGACTAAAATAAATTTTAAATATTTAAAACATGCTTTTAATTGGCATTCATCAGTTAGTTTAAATAACTGGAAGCCGGTCGTTCTTACCTAGTTATGAACTTAATGTTTTGTTAGTTAACATTTTTTTTCAGTTTTTATTAACAGCGCATAAACAAAAAAGCATCTTAGACGGCACCAACCGTTTACAAGCCATTATCAATTGTTTCACCTGATAGCCGATATATTTTAAAACTCATTTTTTCATTCTTTTTTATTTTCCACTTTTTTTTGATTCACAAATGGTTATTTTCATTTGTTATCCATTCCAAAATTAACGTTTTTTGTGATTGGGACAATGGAATTGATGTAATATTCCATTAATTTTCAAAAACTTGCTATGTTCGTTTTTGGTGCAGTAACAAAAGTCATAATACTTTTGTCGAAAATATGTTTTTCATAATACGTTTGTCATAATCACAAAGTCATAAATTTCATAAGTCATAAATTACAAAAGTCATAACTTTCATTTGTCATAAATACGATTTTCATAGTATACAAATCATACATTTGTCATAATCATATTTTCTTATTATTTATATTATATTTTCAAATATGTTTACATTATATTTGTAATACAAGATTTGCTATTTGTCTGACTTAGCAATTTCACTGGCTTGAGACTTTAGATAATCATCCTGGGGTAGAAGATGATAATTGCTGACAATATTTGTAATCGTGTTATGTTTCTCTCTGCGACGCTCATCTCTCCCACTGTTTGTGAATTGATCCTGTCCAGCAACTGTGGCAAGAAGATTTTGTTGTGTAAAAGCTTCCTCCTCAACAAACCGTTCCAAACATTTGACTTTGTGCCAAGCTGGTTGTTCCAAACTTCATTGAAACTGTCAAGTGCATTGTTGGTCGAAATATCACCGTTCAGAATCTCATCATACAATGAAATACATTGGACAGACAGTTAAGTAAGATTGGCCTTGGAAAAATTTCTTATTATTTATTTCTTTATTATTGTAGGTTAGGGCATGGTTATCATGGTGGGGGGGGGGCGAAACCTGTAGCTAGGACATATATATTGGTCATCTTTAGTGTTAGTCAGCTTATTAGGTAGCTGTGGGATATCCATGATATCTTGATGATTCCTAGGGATCTTTGGCATGGGGTTAAACTTCTGCTGTGCACGCCATACCTTGGTTTTGATGGTTTTCAGCAAGAAGGGAGTTGGTCACCTCGGATAGAATTATACTCCGTGAAGTATTGGATACATTCCCAGCCATTCTTTCCACTAAATGATTCTCATAGCTGTGCTGTTTTCTGTTTCTTTAAATTATTCTGATGATCATGTTCAGGGAAAGAGTCACATACCAGATTTCCAGCCGATTTTCGGGTAACAATCCTTTTGTTGCAGCTTTACTGGAACATAACCAGTTGTTGTTGTTGTTGAGGTAATACACATGTAGTAGGGAGCATTAACAGCTTTGACATTTTTAGGTGTTTTCTCAAATCTCACGAGACAATTTNAAACAGGACAATAATTATTCAATCAGATGGTACCATAATTAACACTCAGGACACTAATTATTCAATTAGAGGTATGGTAATTAACAAACAGGAAACTAATTATTCAATCAGAGGGATGGTAAATAACACTTAGGACACTATAATTACTCCATCAGAGGGATGGTAATTTATACTCATGACACTAATTACTACAGCAGAGGGGTGGTAATTAACTCTCAGAACACTAATTACTACACATATAGATAGTAATTAGCACCAAGGACACTAATTGATAAATCATATGGATGGTAATTAACTCTCAGGACACTAATTACTACATCAGATGGATGGTAATTGACACTCAGGACACTATAATTACTTAATCAGAGGAATGGTAATTAACTCTCAGAACACTAAATACTACATTATATTGATGGTAATTAGCACCAAGGACACTAAGTACTAAATCAGATGGATGGTAATTAACTGTCAGGACACTAATTACTACATCAGATGAATAGTAATTAACACTTAGGACACTAATTACTACTTCAGAGGGATAGCCATTAACTCTTAGGACACTTATTGCTACATCAGAGAGATATGTTGGTAACCACTAGAGACACTTAATTTTAAAATTTTTAACGAAACGGATTAGCGGTTTAAAAAATTTAATGGTCAAAAACGTTAACAAAAAAGTTTAAAATGGTTATTTTTTTCTGAATAAAATTGCAGGAGACCAAAAAAAATTAAAGTTTTTACGTGTTTTTAAGTTTTTAAATGTTGTCTTCTGTGTTTATAAACTGTTAAAGAATTTTTTTGCTGTTAACGCTGTTAATACTCCAATATAATTTCATTAACCCTTAATAACATTTTTTCAGTACTTCGCGCTGTTAATGCCGTTCATTTTGTAATAACTGTACCATTAATGGCTAGAGTCGTTAAGGGTAGTTGAAATTTTTCCGTTATAGCTGTTAATAATATTGATATATATTGTTATCTAACGATAATTTTTAAAAAAACGGCAAATGCCGTTCTTACTTTTAAAATTGACGGCTAACGGAAATTTTTCTTTTTTAACAGTTGGAACTAACCGTTAACGAAACGGCTAGAAAAAGTTGGAACATGCCCTGCCCTAGGTTTGCAGTTTCTTTTGTCTTAATTTGATTGCAGCTGAGCTGCTTCCAATCTTTATTTTTTAGTTTGTAGACAAAGGAAATGTTTCCTTTGTCTTTGTTTTAGTTGCTAATTTTCTAATTCTTAAAATGTCAATAGTAATTAATTATTTAATTTTTTTTTGTTGCCTGAACAAAATTTTTGCAAAAGGGATTGAAAGAAATTTTGGAAACCCTTATTTAAAAACATCAAAACAAGTNAAACTAAGCTTTTATGGCGCTTCGCACCCATCTTCTATTTAAATTGTGAACATGTTCTTTTTGTTTACATTTTAAAACAAAGAAGAAAAAAATTTTGCGGATTTTTTAAAAAAAATTCGCAGATTTTCAAGAACTTAAATTTTTTACAAAATTAAAAACCTTTAAACCACTTTTTTTATCATTCATAAACCTTCCCTGTGGTCATGTGATGTCCCACAAATAATTTGGGCCCGATCGGTTCAGCCGTTTTGACGTTTATTGGATACAAAAAACAGACTGACAAACAGACAAACAGACAGACAAGCCAAATTTATATATAGATTAGAAATTAGAATATATTTCTTCAAAGTTTTGCAGAGTAGCTTTTCTAAAGATTTAAAAATGTTTCATCTTTTTCCTCTTAGAGTAAAACTATTTTTTATGTTACTTAAAATAAATTCAGTTTTTTTACAGATCTTTGTAGTTAATGTCAAATGAATGAAGGATATCAAACAAGGTGAAAGCTGAAAGGTAGGAAATGAAGCCTTTATTTGATGGAGTTTGTAAATGCCAGAAATGAGTGGAAAATGCAAATCAAACCAACTAAAACTGGGAAAAAATCCGGTTTCAATTCCGTAAGCCGAAAATTGTCCAGTTTGTATTGGAGTATTTCTCCTCTCCCTACCTCACTGACTAATTCCAATTAGGAAATGTTTTTTAAACCTTCCCTCCCTCCCCCACACATATTGCACAGTGCACAAACAGCACACCCAGTACCCACCCATTTAATCTTTTTTTTTTGCAAAAGTGGAGTTCTTTTATTTATATTTTTGTTTACATTTTTAGCACCGCTGCGTTCCTACTTGAGATTCTTTCTTGTAATATACTGTCCGGACTAGGGTTTCCAAGCGAAATATATTTAGAATTTACAGATCTTTATTCAAACATATGAATCAAAGTATACACAGATTGTAAATTATTTTCTCATTATAGTTGAAAAATAATATACAAATAATACATTGTTAAAGGGACAGAAAAGGAAAAATGAAAGGGGGTATAGGCTGAAAGCTAATCACTTTAGCTTTTCATCGAGACCCTTGAGACGCCTATCTGAAGTTCCTAACTCGAGAGTTGATATAAAGCTGTTTCAAACTTGTACGAAAATGCATATATATACAATTTCGTATAGAAATAGTAGGTTTAAACAGACCATGCTCAGAAAAACAGCAACCAATCTGAAAAAGATGATATCCCAGAGAAAGCTAATTGTAATTTAGGTTTACTTTTATATTTGTTGTTTCTATTTTCAATAGATTTCATTCATAATATTATTTTTACGTCCGTATTACTTGACCAGAAATTCCACCAATGGCAGTGCAGTAAAGTGGTCACGTGATACAGGCGGAGACACGTGACCAGTATACTG